CAACCCAAGTGCCGGCCAACGGGTGAACGGATAAACTAAATGCGGCGTGTCCGTGCGATAGAGCGTTATCCGGCCTTGAAAGTCTCGGAAAGAAATTCTGACCCTGGCGACAACGTGGGTGAGCCAAGCCAGACGTAGCAGGGCAAATCGGATGAGATACCGAGAACAGTCATGTTCGTGGTGACAGAGAGTAGAGGGCGAGCGCCAGGGGCTGGGGAGGGGACTTAGTGTCTGATGAGCACGGGGTCTCAGCTCGGGCAATAGAAGCTTCTGCAGGTGGTGCTGAGCAGTGGGTGGGCCACTGCACTGTGCCCTCAAAACTGGCAAAGGTGGTAAATTTCATGTACATTTGACCACAACTAGAGACATATGTAACGGGTGGCTCAGATATAGCTGGCACCCCCACCCCACCGCTGCGCGAGGGCATCATCACCATGACAACCAGGGTGTGTTTCTCATTGTTTCTTCCTGTGCTCACCGCAGAAGCTCCTTAGTTAGTGATCCAAAAATAAGGAGGTTAAACACGAGGTCTAGCGTCTTAGGAAACGCCCTGAGACATAAACCTCCCTGGAGAATGATTTTCCTTCCGTGGCTGCTCTTCAGGGGCCCGGTGGTAATATTCTAGGAGGAAGACCCTCAGTGCGTCTGGCTTCTCATGTGAGCAAATGAATCAAAGCCCCAGCGCACACCGCGGCTTGCTCGAATCACACAGGCCTTGGTGCCAGGGCCTCCCCGACCCCCGCGGCGTGCTCCCTGCCGAGGCCGCAAAGTTGAGATCCAGCTGAAGGGGTAAGATGCCGAGGGAGAAAGAACAGTCCGACGGCACGTGAGGTCTTGCAGCCTCAAGGGACCGCGTTGCTCAGGAGACAGACACATGTGGAAGGTGAAGGCTTTCGCGGCAAGGGCGGCCTTGGGAGCAAGAGCTCGGGCCTGGAAATGAGATGCTGCATGTGGAGGGAAGGCCAGACTCTGGGACCAGGCGCCCAGCAAGGAGGGGCAACGTGTAGCCATCAACGCCGGGCTTGGTCGTGACGGCCCCGCTAGACGGGTCTCCTCTCGTTTAGATACTAACCCACAGTGACGCTCGTTGGCCACGTCCAGTTCTGCGAATTTTCAGCCAGGTGGGCTTTTGTGTAGCTGCTGTGAGGCCACAGCACCCCAGGACAGTCCCAACTGCGTCCACGTCGAACCCACGCCACACCCGTCCCCTCCCCCATCGCGGCTCCTGCCACGTGCCGCCCTGCTCACCTCGCTGTGGTTTGATCGTTAGAAGAATGTCACATAAATGAGATCGCACGGAAGGAAATCTTTTCTAGAACGGCGTCTTTTGCTCAGCGCTGCGCCGTGGCGATACCTCTGAGCTGTCACAGGCATCCAAAGTTTGTTCTCTTTTATGGCGGGAGTGGCGTTCCCCTGGATGGATGCGCCATTTTGTTTCTCCTTTCTCCCACTGATGAGCATTTGGGTTGTTTGCAGATTTAGGGATTATGAATTGAGCTGCGAAGAAACATTTGTGGACGTGTTTTCTCATGAACGTAAGTTTGCAGTTAAGACTTAAATTACTTTTTCCCCCGGGGCGCCTGGGTGGCGCAGTCGGTTGAGCGTCCGACTTCAGCCAGGTCACGATCTCGCGGTCCGTGAGTTCGAGCCCCGCATCGGGCTCTGGGCTGATGGCTCAGAGCCTGGAGCCTGTTTCCGATTCTGTGTCTCCCTCTCTCTCTGCCCCTCCCCCGTTCATGCTCTGTCTCTCTCTGTCCCAAAAATAAATAAAACGTTGAAAAAAAAAGAAAAAAAAATAATAAATAAATAAATTACTTTTTCCCCTCAAAAATGGTGACCCATACTAGGAAAAAAAATCACTTCCAAAAATATTTTTTTTTCCTTCTACCACTCAAAGCAGGATCATAGGGGAAGCAGATGGTTAACTTTATAAGAAACTGCCAAATGGTTTTACGGAGTGACCGCACCGTTTTTGCAATCTTGCCAGCAATGCAAGACCATTTGTTGTTCCGTATCCCCGCCAACACTTAGTGTTGTGAGTACTTTTAATTCTCCCCGTTGTAATACGTGTGTAGCCGTATCGCCCCATGGCTTTGATTTGCATTTTCCTAATGGCTAATGATGTTGGGGATCTTTTCACATGCTTATCGGCCCCCACCCATCCTGGTTCCTGCGGTGTCAATTCCATATTTTGTCCACCGTTTTTAGCTGGGTTATTTTTTTTAACCACTGAGTTAACATACGCTGGTATGTTCTGCTTTCAAGTCCTTTGTCAGATGTGTGGTTTGCCGGTGTTTTCTCCAGCCTGTAGCGTGACTTTTCATTCTCTTAATGGTGTCTTTTGCAAAACAACAGTTCTAAATGTTGATCAAGTCCGGTTTGTCAGCGTTTTTTACGGGCCGTTCTTTGCGTGTTGGGTCTAAGAACTATGTTTTCTTCTGAAATTTTATAGGTTGACATTATAGATAAAGATCTAGAATCCATTTTGAGTTAACTTTTTTATAGGTGTGATTTGGGATTGAGGTTCATTTGGGGGGTATGGAGAAGCTGTTGCCCCAATAACATTTTCTGGAAAAGACTGTCTTTTCTCCGTTGAATGGTCTTGCACCTTTCTCAAAAATCAACTGATCATATTTGGCGGGGGGTGGGGGAGGGGGCTATTTCTGGATGCAGTAGAGTTCCACTGATCTATGTGTCTCTCTCTCCTCTAACACCACACTCCCTTGATTACTATTACTGTATAGAAATCTTAAAATCAAGTGATGTGCCTCCTCGAACTTTATTCTTCTCTTCCGCAATTTTTTTGGCTTTTTTGGTTCCTTTGCATTTCTGTATAGTTATAGAAACAGTTTGTCTACATCTAAAGAAAACCTCACTGGGACTTTGACTGGAAGCGCATTAAATCTGTGGAGCAACCTGGGGAGAATTGACATCTTGACCATGTTGAGTCTTCCCATCCATGAATATGGTACATCTCTCTGCTCACCCAAGCCTCCTTTGCTTTCTTCCTCCAGCCTTTCCTGGTGTTGAGCAGAAGGATCCTATCCTTGCTTTTCTAGATTCGTACATAACTTTTTGTTTCTTTGATGCTATTACACATGGTAGTGTTTTCAAATTTTCCTCTTTAACTGTTCTTTGCTTAGTATATAGAAATATGACTCGCTAAATGTCATTTTAGAACCAGGCCACTAAAAATATACCAATGTAGTCGTAACTGTGTGACTACCTCAGATTACTTGTGCAGCTGACAATTTACAGCCCGGAGCCCAAGTCAAGTCAGTCTTCACTGGGCATGTAACAAAAGAAGCGTGTGATTCCCAGACCATCCTCCTAGTGACTTAAGATCAATTCTTTGTGTGAGGCTCTGTATGGAAAGCGACCTAAGCAGTCTGCTCAGGCCGGCAGGGCACAGGACACCTTGTCCGCAGCACAGCGAGATGTCCAGCCAGAGAGAAGATGCCGTATTTGGTGAGGCAGAGCAGGGGTGGGAGTGGAGGGAAGGGTTCACAGGTGTGTCTGGGCTGCCGAGGGAGGAATCAGAGGAGAAGCTCACGGCTCTTGTCTTAATGTCAGTAGCAGGGGAGGGGAAGGGATTCAAGAGATGTGAAAGGGAGACGTACAGGACTTGTTCCCGGAGGCCAGGGCGACCGCGGGGTTTCAGGCCCGGTGCTCTGAGGCAGGGAAGGGGGCGTCTGGGGACAGCCTCAGATGTCACCGGCAACGAGGTGCCGCGGACAGGGCACCTGTCACTCCAGCCACCCCGGTCGGGGGTGCAGCTGGCGCCGCTCACAGGAGGCCCCTCAAAGGCACTGCGTTCTGCAGAAGCCGGCTGCAGCTGTCCTGGTGACACGTGTCTCCTAAGAAAGCGTCATCTCGTGCAACAGGCACAGAGCGGACGGGGGCGGCACCCCCAGTGACGCCAGCGCATTTGTCTGACTTGCTTTAA